AGATCTAGAGGTAAAACCTCTGACCTGACACGAGAGATATAAAGGTAAAAATTCTGACCTGACATGAGAGATTGAGAGGTAAACCCTCTGACCTGACACGAGAGATCTAGAGGTAAAACCTCTGACCTGACACGAGAGATTTAGAGGTAAAACCTCTGACCTGACACGAGAGATTTAGAGGTAAAACCTCTGACCTGACACGAGAGATCTAGAGGTAAAACCTCTGACCTGACACGGGAGATTGAGAAGTAAAACCTCTGACCTGACACGAGAGATCTAGAGGTAAAACCTCTGACCTGACACGAAAGATTTAGAGGTAAAACCTCTGACCTGACATGTGAGATTGAGAGGTAAAACCTCTGACCTGACACGAGATATATAAAGGTAAAACCTCTGACCTGACACGAGAAATCTAGAGGTAAAACTCCGACCTGACACGGGAACCTTTTTGACTGGGAGAGCCATAAAAGCCAAATATTTCTAAATATATTTCATTGAGAGCCATATAGTATTTTTAACGTATAATAAATTAAATATGTCTTACTTTTAATGCGACTTCTGGTGCTGCAAGGTTTTGCTGATGGCCTTGTAGTCTGGTTCATACGTGGTGAGGTTGAGCTTCATGCAGGCGTTGAGGCTTACATCAGTTAAACGTGAGCGTAGGTTGGTCTTAATGTTCCTCATATGCGAGAATGACTGCTCACATGCATATGTAGAGCCAAACATGGTCAATACGGCAATACTCACACGCTGCATTGTGTGGTATGTCACAGGAAGCTCGTTCCAAGTTTTAAGAATCAGCTGGTGTTCAGGTTGAAGATTTTTCATTTCTGTCCACTTGTGTTCCCTCGCCAGCTCTGCTCGCTGTCGCGCAAGACTTTCCAACTCTCGATTAAGTGACTTGAACTTACTCATCCACATGTCTGATGCCTTCAGGTCAGCAACTTCCAGCTCAAAGTCTCCGATAGAGACCCCGGGGATGCATGTCAGGTCGACTTTGTCCACTGCACACTCATGTGGATGAGTGATGAACTTGAAAAGACCAGTGCGCGCACGAAATTCTCCAAAACGTGCTTTGAATGACTGCATGAGATTGGACGTAAAGCCAGCTAGCTGCTGGAGATCCAGATGTTGAGTGGAGTCACTTGCTAAGCATGCATCTCTAAATTGTCGCAGTCTTTCAAAGTGCAGAAGACGACCTGTTTCAATGTCCCTGAGAAAGACGTCCAGCTTGCTTTCAAATGCAAACACTGCTTGTTGAAGGGATGAGATTGTATTTCCAATACCTTGCATTTTCACATTGAGCTGGTTCAGATGGCCAGTTATGTCCACGAGATAGTGAAACTGCAGGAGTCAGTCAGTGTTGTCTAGTTCAGGATGCTTGACGCCTTTCATTTCAAGAAACGTCCGGATTTCACTCAGGCAAGCTGCAAAACGGCTGAGCACCTTCCCCCTTGACAACCAACGCACGTTGCTGTGTAAAAGCAGACCGGGATAATGATTCCCAACTTATTCTAACAGAACTTTAAACTGGCGATCATTTAAAGCTCAGTCAACAATAAAGTTGACCACTCGAATGACCAGCGACATCACCTCACCAAGCTCCTGGCCACACGTCTGAGCGCAAAGTGCCTCCTGGTGCAGGATGCAATGAAAACTTCGGATGGCTCTCTTTTCATGTTCATGGAGAAGCGCTACAAATCCTTTGTTCTTCCACCATCAGTACAGACAGAAATAAGTTTATCCATCGGTAGTTTTTTTTCTTTAGCAAACTCCATGAAAGACGTGAATAAATCCTCTCCTCTTGTTGTCCCTTTCATTGGCAAAACAGCCAAGCTTTCCTCACGCAGTCTGTCACCTGCAGCATACCTGGCAATTATACTGAACTGAGATAGATGGCTAACGTCTGTTGACTCATCTAACGCGAGAGAAAAGTATGTCCCGGCGTTTATGTCCTTAATTTGTGTTTCCTCGACTTGATTTGCCATCATGATGCTACGATCGTGAACAGTTCTTGCTGACAGAGGCATGTCTTTTATTCGTTTAATTTTCTTGTCTTTATTTGGGAAGTCATCAAGCAGTTCATTGGCCACATCAAGCATGAATGTCTTGGCATACTCGCCATCTGTGAATGGCTTTCCATTCCTTACTATTGCCAAAGCACCCGCAAAGCTAGCGGAATTCCCGTCACTTTGCTTGGTCCACACACGTAGTTGCTGCTGACTCGTCTGCACTCTCCGCTGTAGCTCTTCGCATGCCTTTTTCCTGCTGTCCCCCGCTGGATATTTCGATGCAAATGAAGCATGGTGCGTATCGAAGTGCTGCTTTATATTTGACCGTTTCATCGATGCAATTTTATCATTGCATATTAGACATACCGCAAATCCTGCTCTCTCCACAAATGCAAATTCCTCTGTCCACGCAGCCTGGAATGCACGGTAATCATCGTCTTTTTTTCTTTTCCGTTACAAGGGTTGAAGCGGATAAAACAAGTCCCTGCGGGGTGGGCTGGTAGGAACGAATAACCAAAGAATATAAACATAATGTATTATTACACTTGTTTAGCCAGGAAAGCCTCACTGAGTCTAAAGGTTTTTGTAGGGTCCTGCCAAGTGTTTGCAGTAGGGGGCTTTAGGCCTAGCTGTAGGCTTTAGGCTGCTGTGAGTTAATTGTTAATTTAAATGTTTTAATTATTAATGTAAAAACTTTAAATTGAAATGTTTCTATTTAAAAACATCAGGGAATGTAATATTGTTAAACATTAACTCCCTTTCAGACACGCGGGGGTACGATACGAAGGGAGAGTTTGAGGCCTAGTTCTAGGCTTTAGGCCTAGCTGTAGGCTTTATGCCGCTGTGAGTTAAATTTTAATTTAAATGGTTTATTTATGTAAAAGCTTTAAATTTAAATGTTTCTATTTAAAAACATCAGGGAATGTAACATTGTTAAACATTAACTCCCTTTCACACACACGGGGGTACGATACGAAGGGAAAGTTTGAGGCCTAGTTCTAGGCTTTAGGCATAGCTGTAGGCTTTAGGCCGCTGTGAGTTAATTTTTAATTTAAATGTTTTAATTAAAAGCTATCTCAGGGAATTATAAGGGAATGTTACACTTGTTTAGCCAGGAAAGCCTCACTGAGTCTAAAGGTTTTTGTAGGGTCCTGCCAAGTGTTTGCAGTAGGGGGCGATGTTGCTACACCTAATCGGACATCGGACGGACGGATGGACGATATAATCTATTGTAGGCTGGTTCACTTCGTTCCTACCAGTACTAGTTGGCTATCTGATCAAATGAATTTCTTCACCTTTACAATGACTCGTGACATGCTCGCGAGCCATTGGTTCCCGACCCGACCCACGGGTCACGGGTCACGGGACCCGTGACCCATGAAATGTATCTTCAAAACTAATTTCTGTTTACTTTAAAATGACAGTATTATTAAGCAATATCACAAGTATTTTAAAATCAGTTCCAAACTGATTTTTTTTTTTACTCAAAATTGTCTGGGAGCCATATGCCGTCACCGGAAGAGCCATATATGGCTCGCGAGCCATAGGTTCCTGACCGCTGCCCTAGGCGGAGGAAAGAGTAGTATTCGTGGGGAGCTTAGGTGAGGATAGACCGAGGAGTTAGGCGGTCCACAGGAAGGACCAAGTGTAGAAGTGTCTACCTCGGGTGTGTTCCGGTGATACTGTACGTGAGTGTAGTAAATAAACTGGCAAGAGCCCTTACAGAGAATCTCCTCTCCGTGTGAGTTTACACCACAACACACGTACAAACTAAGCCGAGGTACTATGGTTTGGGATATTAAGTATTTTTCTTCTTCACAATTTATAGTTACCGAAACCATACATGTCAACCCATACCGTGTGCCCGCATTCCTGTCCAGGGAAATTGAGTTTTCAGGTCAATACGGCATACAGCCGTTTCAATATGGCCAAAATTAGTTTTTTTATTTGTTTCTCTCTTGTGATGGGACTTTGTAGGATGCACGTTGAGATGTATAAGGGGCACGGGGTGACCAATAAGGTCTGAGTTGGTCTGTAATAAGGTAGGCACTGATAAGGGATTGACAGGTATGCGAAACAGTTCATTTGTGTGGTCGCTGGTTCAGAAACCTTTCCTAAAAAGTGCTCCCTTGATTGGTCGTCGGCCTGTCTCCGTTTCACCGTGACTGCCACGAACCCTTCTTTTGACGGGAGAAGAAGAGTTTGTGGCAACGGTCCTCACCATTGGATGTGAACGTTTAGTGCCTCCATTGTGTGGGCTGCACTGCCCTCTCATACCCACGCAGAGGAATGCTCACCACGGGGTTCGCTCGTCACTTTGGAAATCGCGCGGACTCCACTGCGGTTCGTTCTGATTGGCAGCGCGGTCATTGGCGGCTGGGAACCATGGCTTGATGAACTCGCTACGTGTGTGTTGTATGGCTGTTGCGTATGTGGACCTATATGGACGTTAAACTTCTTTCGCACCGTACGTAGCCAACCGCGCTAATCAGAGACGCGGGCGAAAGGACAACACTAAACAACACGAAGCAGTTTTAAAGGAGTGCGTTTTACACCGGAAGCCACGGTGCCGGCTCAGCTGTGCCACGGCCATCATTACGAGGCCCCGCTCCCCACCCTCGCCACGCGCCGTTCCTATGCCGAGGCCGAGGACAACCACCGCGAGGTGCCTCCCACCCCGCCGTCAACAGCAGAGCCGATCCGGGCCTCTGTCGATTACCGCACGCGGAGCGATTTCGAGGGATCGCTAAGCAGATTTTAAAAATCGATTCGTCTGCGGTCTCCTTAGCGCTGCTTGCCTCCGGCGTGCCAAGGGGCTCAATTCCACCCCCGCCCCCACCACCACCGCCACTGAGCCTCAACGAAACGACCGCGGCGCGTTGCAGCCCGTGCGGCCGTATCCTCGCCAAATGATCGCGTACCTTAAATTCACGGTGCGATTCGATTCCCTCATCATCCCGCGGCACCAACGCACAGAACGGAATCGACAGTCGCGATTCTTTCGTCGCTCGGGCCTGGACCGCCGCGCGGCGCCCGCGTCTCCCGCCGCCGCCGCCGCCTCGAGGTTCGACTCCCGCTGAGGAGTCCCCGCAGAGGAGCCCCCGAGGTCCCCGCGTGACCCCGCGCGTTCCGTCTTCAAGTGGCAGAACGCGTGACCCCTCTCCCCCCCCGCGGCCTGGGAGCGGTGCCGAACAGCCAACTCCACCATCACCACGTAAACTCAGCGGCGCTCACCCCTCGCGACATCGCCGGAATACATCGCTCACCGTCACTGCATCACGGCATCACGATAACCTATCACTACTTTGTTACATCGCTCACAGTCACTAAGATCACGATAACCTATCACTACTTTGTTACATCGCTCACAGTCACTAAGATCACGATAACCTATCACTACTTTGTTACATCGCTCACAGTCACTAAGATCACGATAACCTATCACTACTTTGTTACATCAATAACCGTTACTTGCTATCCACGACATCCTCACCATAACTACATCACCTTCACTCGCCATCACGATATCACTCACCATCAATACATCACTATATCACCATCGCTACATCACTCACCATCACTATATTACCATCGGTCAGTACCTGTACTACTCTGAACGCCACATGACTCTTCATGACATCACTGAGCATCATTCACCATCGCATCACTCGACATCATAACATTGACTCAGCAATATTACACCGCTGCGTCGTGAGATAACAATCATATCAGCAATCGGCATGACATCACTAATTTCACTACATCACCCACTTCACTACATCACTCAACATCACTGTTTGACCCATTTTATATCAATCACCGTCACTGCGCCCGGGCATATCTTGCACATTTATATTTAATTGCCGTAAAAAATTGATGTTCAATCCGTCCTGTCTATGGACCTGGATTTGTTTCCCAGGAGCATTTAAACTCAAACCTAAGTATATTTTACCGTACTGTTTCTCGTCAGCCCTCTCGTGCTCGTTAAGCCAATGCTTCCCCAAATACATTGCGCGCACATTTTACTGCTTATGAATTTGGCGGCTGATGGACGTTATATCACACCCCCACTGGTAATGATTTTAAGTCAAAATGGTAATTTGGTTGCCTCTGCAGACCTGTCAGTAGTCGTTACATCTTCAATTACATCTTGGGGTGGCAGTGATGAATAGTCAAGGTGGTGAGTGGTATAGCAAAAAGTGACTGCGTTTGATTCCTGAATTGGGCGCCTTTCTGTGCGGAGATGTGTCTGTCCTCTACTTCTGTATTGGAATCATCCGGGTTCCCCCGGGTTTCCGCCATAAAAACAAACCTCAACGTGAGTTAAATTTCGGAAAATGAATAAAAGAATACCCACAAAATATCCTGCAGCATTTGCATAACAATCATCGCCCCCTCGTGGCAGACTAATGCCTTATTAGGTTGTTGAGTCACCTTAGGCCGCGCATGGACGACTGCCAATCGGGGGCACGGATCTGTGCTTGGAGACGATTCGTTACACACAATATAATCGCACGTTCGTGCATTAAATCGCACTTGCACAAGACTTTCGACTGTGAGAGAGACATAATATTCTCCATGACCCGGCTATGTGCACCACTTATAAAATATGAGTTAGATTGCAGTATGTTTACGGCACTGTCTTGTTCGGTTTGGTCCAGTTCATGATACTGTAGAAATGCACTTGACATTGTATAACCTATACTTGTGTGTGTTGTAAAGTTTGAATTTGCCCCTCTGATTAAGTGTACCCTTTGCAAACGAGACATTCCATCTCGACGGTTTATCCAGGTGAAATGTTTTAATTTTCGTTGGTGGCGATGAAGTCAATGATCTTTCTCCCACGGGGCCCCCTGGGCCATGCAGGGAGTATCCCGGCACGAGCGACGAAGATGCCGAGGCCCCAGGCTCAGCGCGGTGCGGTGCAGGGCGAGGAGAAGCCCTACTTGTGCACGGTGTGCAACATGAGCTTCACGCAGATCGGAAACCTCAAGGACCACCAGCGCATGCACACGGGCGAGCGTCCGCACGTGTGCATGGAGTGCGGCAAGGATTTCCTGCACTTGTCCTCGCTGCGGGCCCATCACCGCACGCACACAGGCGAGCGGCTGCACGTGTGCAACGAGTGCGGCAAGGGCTTCTCAGACACGTCCAACCTGAAGAAGCACGTGCGCACGCACACGGGCGAGCGGCCCTACAAGTGCGATGAGTGTGGAAGGGGCTTCTCGCAGGCGTCCACACTCAAGGTTCACCAGAGGTCCCACCGCGGTGAGTAACTTACTGCTCATGTTTTTTTTCTGGTGATGATGATGCATTGTTATAATCATCATCAGCAGCAGCAAAATAACTGTGTAATATCGAATGTGGCTGTTCAAAATAGGAATTAGCACACTGTGAAGGCTTGTAAAGGAAGAGGACACCTGCTCTTAAAAATCCCACTGATAGAAAATGTTTTGCGGTGGAGACTTTGCATGCTACATATTATTTTTGTTGATTATTTTTGTCCCGGCCATCAAATTTTGTTCTACCAGATGACGGTTGCTTATGTTGCATTCGAAACGTCGTACTCTATTATTTTATTTATTTTCTGTCTACGTGAACCAAAGAGTAATTCCTGCAGTCATAAAAGCTTCAAATACAGTTTGAACCACCTCTACGAGGAGGATGTAAGCTGTTTTCTTTCTCTCTCTGTGTTTCTGTTTGCCAAATTTCACACTTAACTTCAAATTTAGCAATCTTTGGAGATCGTAATCAACCAGGTTATGCGTTAACTGTGTGTTAGCCGACTCTCTGTGTTGCATTGCATTACATTTCCAAAAAAAATTCTAAGTTTGTTTTCTCAAACGGCCTATTTCTCTCTCTAAAATTTACCAGGCTCTCATAGGTCCATTCGCTCTTTCTCTCCCCCGGCCGCTTCGGGGTGGATTTCCACACATCTCTCTGTGTGTCTCTGTTTGTCAAATTTAACACTTGACTTCTAATTTTAGCAATCTTTGGAGATCGTAATCAACAAGGCTATGCGTTAATTGTGTGTTAGCCGACTCTCTGTGTTGCATTATATTACATTTCTAAAAGATTTGCAAAATTTTGTTTTCTCAAACTATTTCTCTAAAATTTACCATGCTCTCATAGGGCCATTCGATCTTTTTTCCCTCGGTCGCTTTGGGGTGGATTCATTGACATGCTAATTTCTCTGCTCCAGCAGCTGCCCCAGTAGACCCACCTCTTTCTCTGCCACCCCCCCCCCCCCCCATCTCTCTATTTAAGGCATCGACACAGAGGCATTGGGTCTCTGTGTGTCTATGTTGTGTGCCTCTGTGTGTCTGTGTTGTCTCTCTCTGCTTGTGTGTCTGTCTGTGTCTCCGTGTGCGATGCGGTAGCTGTCTTGGTTTGATGGATAGCCAAAAGCCGCTGCGAGGATGACCAGAGTTTGCGTGATGGTTTATGCTCCTTGACGAGATCAGCAAGACATTGTGGTTCATTTGTGGCAAGCACTCTGTGTGTAATGAGTAGCACCTTATAATGTATTCGGTTGGCAACTAGAAACCAATGCAGCTCGGTGAGTCCTGGACGGACACGGTCGGATCTTGCAGTACCCATCACGACACATACCAGCAATTTTTTTACACTCTGCAGCTTGCTTATCTTTTTGCAAGAAGTTTTGTAAAGTAGTGATTTGCAATAATTATTGAGCTTTGTCGATATTATGCTACGCACCACCATGGTGGCTATGTCACGACTCAATAGTGGTCGAATGTGTCGTAGAGCCCTGATATGAGAGGACTTGACTATATTTTGCACGTGATCAAACAACAAATTCTGGTCGAGTATGGTGCCGAGGCTCTTTAGATGAGTAGAAAACTTTAATCCTGGAGTTCGTGACTGCCACACCTGATCCTCCCACAATATTTTTCACCTGCGCCTGGGTGCCAACCAGCAGAATGTCAGATTTTTCTGGATTAACCAGCATTTTTTTCATGCAAGCTACACGTGCACCGCTAGTGTGCAATTTTCGAGGTTGCCGAGGCTCTTAATATCAAACTTTGACTTCACTGCAGTGTACATTTGTGGAAAGCCCACCTCAAGAAGCACAACATACTCGCCCCAGGCAGCGAGGTTGGGATGTCGGCGTCCGCGAGCCGCCTAATGCAGCAAACGCTGAGCCGGTCAGCAATCCCGGAGAACGCGGTGGTTGATTTTGTTATCGAAGGTGCAATCTCTTTGCGAGCCGCCGGCAGCGACAAGTTAAAGACCTTGGTCCACACATTGACGTAGGGATACGAAGGCCCGTCGACACGCACCATCATTCGCAGGATTGTCGGGCATCACACCATCATGCTGCCCATCGTCGGGGCGTTCTTCTCCAACCTTGTCGTCGCCATCTCGTTCACCATCAACTGGTGGTCGAACCGCAACCTGAAGGGATTTTGGATGGTCACGGTGCATTGGATCGACACCAAATCTGGTGCGTTGAAGTCCATGCTGTTGACGATCCTCGATGTGCAGTTCGAAAGGGGTGTCGGCAAGCGCATTGGCACCATTTTGCTTGAGCACCTCCAAAGTCTCGGGCACAATGTCTCAACTAAGCTGCTCGCTGTCACCAGCAACAATGGCTTCGATGCGATCAGTGCTGTCAAGACGTTGTTCGCCCTGGTCAGCGCGGATGCCGGATATGAGCAGTTGGGGGTTTGCCACCATATTCGCTGCGTGGATCATTCGGTCCAGATCGGCGTCGTCTAAGTTCTCAAACTGATGAAATCGACCAACGCCGAACTGCGCTCATCAATATCAGGCGCAGCAAGGTCGCCCGGCAGTCGTACCGCCGCAAGGCCGAGATTGCCAAGCTCGCCAGCAAGGAGCCGACGCACCAGGACTCGCCGACCAGGTCGAATTCGACGTTTGACATGGGCGACGACGCCATGAAAAAGTGTGTCCCATTGGACATTATCATGGTGCGCTTCCAAGATGTGATCGGCGTCGGTGCTTTCTGAACTGCAGTGGGCAAACATAGAGGGCGTGACAGCATTCCTGTGAATGCCAGGTCATGACCTCGTTGGCGGCGGACCGCAAGTCGACATTGGATCTCGTTCCGGTGACGATGGAGAATCTGATCCGTCATTGTGAACGCTCTTAGAGCGATCGATGAGTCCTTGACCGCGATGGGGATGAAGGCCGAGCTGGTGTGGTACCGCAACTTCCTGGTTCAGGAACCTGCCATTGTGGCATCCAACTTGAATCCACAGGTGCCGAAAACGAAAGACCAAGACGAGCTGGCTACACTGAAGGCCACGTTCCGCTCTGTCCTGCAGCATCGCTACTCGGACATGCACACGATCCCGACGACGGCAGTCGCTGCCCATATGGAGGAGGGGTAGCTGTTCAGCACCTTATTCGGCAATGTCGGCAGCTCCATCGATGACGGTGATGAAGTCGATAGATTTCTGAGCATGGGCGTCACGACCGCCAGTGGTGTGATGCAGTGGTGATCTCCCCGCCTGCGAACCCGCGAATAGCGGAGCCGGGTGGGAGTTCACATGCGTTCGTCAGTCGCTGTCGTAGACGCTTTTCATCCAGTCCATGTGCTTGCACTCGTGGATCGCGACCAGCTGCCTGAAGGTCCCGTCTAAATGGGCCGGAGCGGTGCAGGATCTTATTGCCTGTCGTTCGTCCGAGGACGATGGCAATGACGAACTTTGATCAGGTCGTCATCGACCAAGACGTCTGGGATGAGGAGGTTATGGAGGATGGTGTCGTCGACAGCCTCAACGCCTTATTCAAGAGTATTCTATATGAATAAAGCGGTCTCCCTAGCATTTACCTGTTATAAACCTTTTTCATGTGTATTACCCCGGTAATTACCCTGTAATTGGGTAATTTGTATGGGGTAAGGGTAAAAGGTAGGGTCAAGGTAGGCTCGTTATTTTTACCTTTTACCTTACTTTGCCGCGGTCTACCCCTGTGGTACGCCGACTAGGTACGGCATAGGCGATTACTGTTCGTTGCTCACCTTGACGAACTGTGATCGACCATGTAGGTATGACTCAATCTACCCCAGTACCGTACCCGATACACCAAACCTTGACCTTAGCCGGCCGATATGGATCTCATGGTCACTGGTGTCGAAGGTGGCTGAGAGATTGAGGCCAACCAACGCTGCGGCACACCGGTCATCCATGGTCTTATCGAGATCATCAGTGATCTTTGTGGAACTTCTGGTATGCCGACTGCAACGGGTTGAATCTGCTCATCGCAGTGATGTGGGGAAGTAACCGCTTAAGACACCGGTGCTCTATGACCTTGGAAATCGTACTCAGATTTGAGGTTGGGTGATAGTTTGTGGTGTCACTATGGCTCAAACCAACTTATTGCAGGAGTAGTGTTACCTGCGCCATTTTGAACCAGTCTGCGAAACAGCCCTCGCTAAACAAAAGATTTGGCAGGTGGACACTCAGCGGTGCAAGCACGTCCGAGCATGATTTGAGAATCGACATGTGGATGTAGTCGAACGCGATGTTATATTTTGGCAGCCGTGCTATGAACATTGACACTTCTGCCGCCGATATTGGTGCCAGTGTAATAAAGGACTTCGCCACACACTGCTTGGTCTCTGTCACTCTTTATTCGGGTTAACACCCGCACCCTGCTGGTCCCGACACCGGACCAGCTGCTCCTCACCAACTGACCCGGAGCCCTTCCGGGCTCCCACCTATATCCCCTTCACCACGTGATCCTGTCTCCTCCCTCTCACCACGCCCTTCCGAACCTTCCAGATCTGGCCTCCCCATAGCGCCCTGCTGGCTCCACCCCTAGGTTCCGCCCCCTCTCACCTCGCTTCCGATTGGACCCGAGGTGAGCGGTGGACCTTCACATACGCCCCCATACTGGCTCCGCCCCCCAATACCCCGGGCCGTATGATTGGCCCAGAGGCCAGCAGCGAACCCCGCTTACGCTCGCATTACACCAGGGTCTCGAGTTTTGCATTGGTTGCAGGTTGATGAAACTCAGATGGCAGACTGGGAGAATGCGTTGCAATGAGTCACTCTGGTTATTTTGGTAAAGTCACGTAGAAAACAAAATCAAATAATAATAGAATACGACGTTTCAATTGCCACACAAGCAACCGTCATTAGGTAAGAATGAATGAGAAAAAAACATAGTGAACTTAGAAACACAATGCAACACAACACATAGAGCAGGACAACACAACAGCCAACACCCCACCTGGCTGACCATGCTCCTCCAAAGAATGACAAAAAGAAAGACAGCGCCACTGTGTCGAGGCTTTAAATTGAGAGAGGGGGAGGGTTGGGGCAGAGAGAGAGGGGGGGGGATTGGGGCAGAGGATCACGCTTCTCATTCATTCTTACCCGATGACGGTTGCTTGTGTTGCAATCGAAACGTCGTATTCTATTATTATTTTATTTTATTTTCGACGTTATTTTACCGAAAGACCAAAGAGTAATTCCTGCAGTCACAAAAGCTTTGAATCTAGTTTTCAATGAGTCAGTTGGCAGATCTGCAGGCTGCTCTGTAAGCAAGTCGGACAGTGTCAAAACAAGTTTTCGTCCAAAGATGCTCTGGCCTCCTTTGCGTCTGCTCCGCAGCGATCGCCTCCGGTGACAACCAGTGACTGCACACTTTCCCCATTCTTTTTTTGCTTGTTCGCATCGGCACGAGTACATCAAGAACAGCAGTCATGTCATTTTCTAATTAAGCTGCAAATGAATTGGCCGTCGATGCAGGATTTAGATGACTGGATCTTCTGATGGAAACGGTCTTGGTCCAGTAATTTCCAGTCTGATATCGTTGTAATGGGTGGGCGAATAGTCAGTAATACCACTTTGCACCTCATAAGACTTTGATCTGAAATACCCATGTTTTAGATAACAACATTGGTCACAGTTACGGCCTCAGTGGATGTGATCCAATATGTTTCCTAAGCGACATGTTGCACTGCTGACGTGTTGGGTTAAACTGTGACCATCGATAATCTTAGAGAGATCACTGTCCGGGACAGTTCAGGTCACCGCAGATGATGTAACGAGAGCCAAGTGACCCACCATCTAGCAGACCGCAAAGCTCGGAAAGGAATTCCAACAGCGGTGAAGATGGCGGTCGATAGATGACAGCGATTGTAAGCCTCCGCATGCTGTTTGGTATTTTCACGAGTCTCTCAGGACTTTCACGCTGTGAATCAGTGCGCCAGGCTTCCCGCGACGGAGCTGATGTACAATAGCCTATCCTAGATTTGACGTTTTCGTGACTGCAAGGATCCAACCAAAGAGTCTGAATAGCCTATCCGTTAGGTGCAGCCTCACGCTTAATTACGTCCGGTGAGTTCTCATATACCTAGGTTTCGGTAATGGCCAATATGTCAAGTCCACAATCTTTGATTAGATCTTGGATCAGCACCATCTTGTTTAACTCTGGAGCGTGTGTTGATTAATCCCTGGTCCAGGCTTTGACTCGATATCCGACAGCAGCAGTATGGCGATGAAGGCACTCTTCTGTGATCGTGTGGATGTAGGTCGAAAGATGAACTGACCAGATCTGCAGCACAACTATTTGCGAGGCATCATAACAAGTGACTAACACAGTCGGGTAGGGGGTCGCCATTTTCACAGCAGTACATAGCATAGTGGGTGCGGAACTCAAGTAGTTTGAACTGGAAAGTTGACCGATCAACACTTCCTTCTGCACCGTGGATGCTGGGCCGAGTCTGCTGGTGAGTCCCACCACAGTATCGGTGATGTTTGGATGAGACAAAATTGATTTGTCGATCTAGGTCAAGAGACGTTCCGGCGTATAGAGCGCTATTTACAATGTTTTAAACCGTCGTGTGAGCCTGAGAAACTTGGTTTAAAAAATCTACTTGAAAATGTCTTGAGTGGTAGCTGTGGAAGTTGAGTTTGTGTGGCGAGTGCACTGCTGTGGATTTGACATCCCCACCTGAGCTGTGCAAGGGGCAGGGGCACAACAACCTATTTCACGGGGGGGGGGTGGTGACTATGAAATATACGACTGTGGGCTCCCCTCCTTTCTCCCGACTCACTTTTACTGAAATTGCTTTGGATGTTTCTAGCCCGTATACAATATGTAGGCTATAACTAGTTTAACACGTGGGCTTTCGTGACCAATATCCATTACTAAAGGTTTTTGGGTTAGACCGCGTAAGTATATAAATGTGTCGTTAAAACCCGCCATGACCCAACACAGCCCCCCACATTGTGCAAGAGCGCAGAAGCGTGGTCAACACATCTACGCCTCTATTTAATGAATGAAACAGTAAGATTTCTCCACAAATCTGGCTATCGCCTGATGAAGCTAGTTGTAATTGCTGGCGAAACGTCGTACTCAGATTGTAAATGTTGTGGCTTGGCTCTCCAACACACCGGTGTACTGTACTAGTGACGAATTGGCATGTTCTGTTTACGTGACAACCTTTACTAGTTGGCTGTGTCGGGTGGTGGCGGGTTTTAACGACACATATTTACGCGATCTAACCCAAAAACCTCTATTGATTTGAAGCTTTTGTGACTGCAGGTATCCATACTCTTTGGCTCTTTCGGCAAAGTCACGTAGGTAGAATAAATAATAGACCACGACGTTTCGATCGCAACGCAAGCAATCGCCTGATGACGTTTCGATCGCAACGCAAGCAATCACCTGATGACGATTGCTTGCGTTGCGATCGAAACGTCGTGATCTATTATTTCTTCTACCTACGTAACTTTACCGAAAGAACCAAAGGGTACCAAAAACCTCTGTTATGGCTTATCCGTGTATTGGGTTTAGAGGAAGACAGTCTCACGGTGACAGTATTAATAAGAGGATTTAAAGATAACAATACTCACAATTAAGTTATCATCCGTTTTGCTTTCATGTGCATGTCCGCAAAAAAGCCTGGTGGTGTTCAGTAGCAAAACACCAGCAGTAGTGCTACTATATTTTACGCTGTGGATTTTCACAAATATTTTTCATTTGTAATAATGCTTTTTGGTATTTATGGTTAATTGTTGGAACATTTTTTTTTACAAAAATTTCTTAACATTTTTGTCCTTGATAATTGTTTTTTCACCCTTCTATCTGGCAACAAAACTTACACCTTATTACAAGGAGTCATGTTTACATAGACCACAATACCTGTAGTCATAATGCAAACAAAAAACACAACTCTGATAATGTGCACTGTCCTTGAAGTTGATTGGTCCACACCCGAGACAGCTTTCCTTAGAGCCTAGTCTCACATGGGTTGAACTAGATGACGCATTATGACTGCAGGTATTGTGGTCTATGCAAACATGACTCCTTGTAAAAAGGTGTCAGTTTTGTTGCCAGATAGAAGGGTAAAAAAACAATTATATTTTTTCTGACATATGAGGTTCCAATGGTGTAAAATGTTGTCCTTGTTTATCATCTGTTGATTCGGGGCCCCCTTGTGGCCGACTGGGCCTCTATGCATCGCATAATACTGCATACCCCCCATAGTTGTGTCCCTGGCAGGGGGCATGTGTGATCTGAGCACTGCTGGAAATCCCCTTGCCAGTTTCTCCCATCTCTGTGTCACTCTGTCGGTCCCTTCTTGTGGCCATCTCCATATTTCTCAATCTGTTACTTTGTCACCAATTCTCACTTTCCGTCTCTGCGTCTCTGTGTCCATGTTTTTGTTCACCTATTTCTCATTTTCTATGACTCACCATGAAATTCAACGTTATCTCTCTCGATGTCCCTTTCCAAATCTCGTTTTTTTTCAATTGCACTTTCCGTCTTTCTACATGTCTCTGCAAATCCACGACTGTCCAATCTCTTTCACACTTGTGAATTAACGACTTCTAAAAGCAGCAGGGCATTCCGCTGGGGTATAGATTCCAAGACTAATCTCATTCCTATTGGTGACAGTGTGGTGACACGGACCAGTGCTAGCACATTCGCCGCTTGTTGCTGAGGTTCGCGGTTCAAATCCAGTGGCTGCCCTGGTCATGACTGCAGTGTGTAATAACTGTTAACACACTCCACGCCGTCTGCTTCGCAGTGGATGTTACAGGTCACCATTGACTCGGTGAGGCTTTCCCAAGTAAATGAGCGTAATAGTAAAAACTTTATAAAAAGCGCTTATATTTTTATTGTGCAGAGGCTGCCGAGAAGCAGTGCGTGCGCATGGCGGCTGAGAAGGCGTCCACCGTCGACACCAAAACCCCCAAGAGGCGGCAGAGGGGCAAGGGCCAACAGCCGCACGTGTGCACAGCGTGCGGGAAAATCTTCAAGCACCTGTCGTCCCTCAAGGTCCATCGGACCATCCACACGGGCGAGCGGCTGCACGTGTGTGACGAGTGCGGCAAGGGCTTCTCGGACACGTCTAACCTGAAGAAACACGTGCGCACGCACACGGGCGAGCGGCCCTACAAGTGCGGCGTGTGCGCCAAGGGCTTCTCGCAAGCGTCCACCATGAGGATTCATCAAAAGATGCACTCCCTGAAGACGCCGGGTTCGTGTTTATCCCTCTACCCTCGCCGCACTGCACAGTGTAGGCGAGCGTTACTCATCTCGTTTACACATGATGTTTGCTAGGACAGGGGTCTGTAAAGAAAATAACAAGAATAGCCATTCTTTTTCGAATTCGGTAAAGAATATATATATTTCAAGAGCCACAACGCATGTGAATAATGCCACGAAGCAGTCCTTAAAGAGCCGAATGCGGCTCCGGAGCCGCAGATTGCCGATCCCTGTACTAGGGGTTCCTCGAATAGCACTTAAATGGGAACTCTTCTTATCCACGGCCCTATTACCCGAGACTCCTATTATCTGCGACAGCTGTATGATCCTTGGAAACACCCATTATCCATGGTCCTGTTTCTTCATATTATCCCTGGTTAGCCTCAATTTCGTAAAGCAACAATGCAGTGTGACCAAAGGAACTGCATGAGCGCCACTTGATTTTATCACGAAAATACGTACACACACACACAGACCCTTACAAAGACAGCCATACACAGACACGGATACAGACAAGCAGACAGATGGAGACACACAAAAAGGAGGAGACATATACACGGAGACACAGACACACCACGTCACACACCACACCAACACACCACACCAACACACCGTCACAATAAGAACCGTTATTTGCCACTAAGTGGTGGTAATATTACCACGGCGCTTCTGCCAAGCTAGGTGAACTTTGAGGCCATGTGCAGTGGCAAAGGCTCGCTGGCAGGAGGTCACGGGACAAACCCAGTTGCCATAGGTTGCCATACCCGAATAGTCTCCTCTATCCAGCCAAACAAAAGCTGTTTGTGCAGGCTGTGGCTGGACATGCGGCCTATATACCCCAGGCAACGCAGCATTATCTGCTGGAGAAGCTCACTGATGGGATTGTGTCATGATCTGTCAAGGATTTGTGAGCTCACACAATCCAGTCTGGTTAAACCCAGGATGGATTGTAGGCACAGATGTTCCATTGGAGGGTCTCACATTTCGCAAGCATAGAGAAGGGAGGACATGACTGGCCAAGAAGACCGGAAGTTTCATGCGGATTTACAGACCCAGGTAGCTTCCACCCAGTGTTAAGGAATGAGACCTCTGCTGTCAAATCGGAGCTGATCAACAGCATATTACCCAGGTACAGAAACCTTTCTACTCTCTCCACAACTGCCCCATAAGTAATAGGGAGTTGAGGGGGTGGAGTGTTGGATGACACAAAATACCCAGTCAGGTGCTTAGTTTTGGTGGGGCTGATGGTAAGACCCCACCTCTTAGTAGTATGCTCCAGTTTCAACAGCAGTGTATCCAACTTCGTTGAGTGCGCAGCAACCACCAGATCATGAACATATATAACATGGTTAACCAATAGGGAGCTATCCCTCGACTGCACCCAGGCATCAATCAGCCTCTCATTGCATCTGCAAAATGGGAAGTACAGCCATGGAAAGCTTTTCGAACTATGTGGTCGAAAGAGATGTTAAATAGTGTAGGAGCCAGAGGACATCCCTGTCGCATCCCAAGGTGACTCCTGGCCATGCAGTATTTACCTGGGCCTGCCCACCATCATGAAAGTCCTTACGATTGTGAGCAGTCAGGGACTCCGAAAGCACGAAGAACAACCCAGAGCCCTGGCCTATTGATGGTATCATAAGCCTTGACCACGTCGATATAGCACAGATGTAGGTCCTGTTGGAATTCCCTGCAGCTCTGCCGTAGCAGACGGCCAGAGAATATGGCATCCGTGCACTGCCGCCCCGGCCTGAAACGACATTGGGGCTCTGCAAGCCTCTCCTCAGCGTGCTGCCTGGCAAGACGATGTTGAATACTCCTTGCTAGGACCTTTCCCGGCACACTGAGGAGGGAGATAGCCCCAGTAGTTGTTACAGTCTGTGCGGTCCCCCTTCTTAAATAGGGAGACCACCAGGTCATACTTTCAATCCTGCGGAACCCATCCAGACTGTGGTAATCTATATACAGTGGTACCCCGGAGATCGAACTTAATTCGTTCCAGAAGGCCATTCGAATACCGATTTGTTCGAACACCAAATTAATTTTCCCCATAAGAATTAATGTAAATGACATGAATTGGTTCCAGACACAAGAAACCTCTCATTATAAAGCATTTTTACACGAAGTTTACAGTAATTACATGCATAAAATCATACAAAAAAACAAGAAACAAGAAATAAATGGAATAAATGAATAAATATATGGAATAAATTAAATAAATGAACTTTGAACTTCACTTTACCTGTAGTAAGGAGAGTTCATGGCTTGAGTGGAAGGTGGTGAGGAGGAGGAGGTGGTGGTGTTATTGTTTGGAAGGGGAGTCCCCTTTGTCTGGGCAAGCGTCATACACGCTGGCCATACGCGTCTCAGCCGTACAGGTTTTTTCAAGTTGCGATTGCCCGTTCAACCTCCAAATTTCGTTTGGTTTCTGGGGCAATTTTTTTTCGGAAGTATCGTTTGAACTACGATTTGTTCGAGTTCTGGTGCGTTCGATCTCCAAGGTTCTGTGTATAAAAGGGAAATTGGTGAATGTGTCTGTTAAAAATGTTTAGCGTACTTCCCGACATGCAACAAACTTGAAATTTGCCATGTGGGTACTTTCCAGACTGTGTACACCATGCAAAAATGATAAAAAAAAAAAACTTTTTTTTTGGGGGTGGGGCGGGGGGGCGCAATAATGCATATATTTTGCACGACAAATGAGCTGTGACGTCACATATCTGTCATGTCACCCAAACCCTCCGCGTCGGCCCTCGCACAGCTGGGGGGGGGGAAATAATGGATATAATATACTAGGCTACAAACTTTAAATTTTCCATGTGGCTAGCTCCCATTCTGTACACAATGTAAAACGTTTAAAAATATACTTTTGTATTTGGGGCGGGGGGGGGAATCACCATGAAGTGTGTGGCGTCAACCCTCATACAGGACTGGCGAGAATGGATATCAGGAGAGCGTTTGTGGTATTGATTAAACGGGAATAGGTCGATTCTAAAGAAATCTACAACCTTCGATTCCTTTGCTCGATTTAAAGAATCGAATCTTGGCGCACGAGCTTAAGTTTTTATTTCCACTGCGCGTTGGATTTTATTTTAATCAATGTGATAATGATCTAAGTTTTCTTTTCATTTGTATATGTTATGTTTTTAAGTTTTAAGAAGTTTCTAAATTTATTTTTCTCCCGGGCAATCTACACACACGCCACCCTCCCACACCGTCATGCATACAACTACACCACACACACCACGTCACACACACCACACATCACAAACACCATATACACCACTAGATACACACCTCTTGACCCACACCAGTTCACACACCATGTGACCCAAACATATAATAATGCAATTTAATCAAAAATTATACTTGGAATTATTCTATGCTATATTCAGCAAAATACCAGGACTAAAAAACACGTGGTGCTTAGCGAAATCTGAAGGTGAAGCAAATATTTGATGCACCCCTTAACTGTACACGTGTAATTTATGGTGATTTTCTTGAAACTAATTAACATTTAATTGGTTGGAATATAGGCTTACATCTAGTTGAGATATTGTTTAACTTATCAACTTTTGGACCTGTTTATATGAGTTTTAACAGCAAGATTTAGCATAAAACACAATCTGCTGGTTAACCTGATACTACAAGCAATAGCAGCCACCTAAATGGAAATCCACATTGCTTCTCACCCTGTTATTAGTTAATTTGTTGTGTCTAGCCCTGTCCCTTCCCCTAGTCACCATTCCCCTTGTCTAATCCTGTCCCGGCCACCTATTCCTCATGTCCAACCCAGACACGCTTGTCCATTTCCTATGCCGAAATATAACTTTTGTCACTTTATAATTTACCCGTGCCTCGTGTCAATTCTGCTCCTATTTGCCATGTCTAATTCTAACACTGACCACCCAGGCATCAATCAGCCTCCCACCCACCCCCTCTGTCAGTCCCGGGAGAGGAGGTGCAGGTGGAGGCTGGGAGCTACGAGCTGCCAGACGAGACGTGCCCCCCAGGAGATGGACCCGTGCCCCTTGGCTGGGTGGATGGGGAGGAGGAAGCCTTGGGAGACCGGGATGTGGAAAGTGAATGTGACGTGTTCAGTGACGGTGGGTCCCGGCTCGCGACACCATTACTCGCCTCTCACAAAGTAAAATAAATGCACGAGCCTCACGCAGAGTACACTTGTATGAGCACACTTTAGTTAGCTGCATGCCACGGTGGCGAGATGTAAACTACTTCACAGGGTATATAGGAGGTTGTGGGTTCAATGCCGACCCTGACGCCTGTATTTTGTATTTGCCTGTCTCCCCATGGTTGCTTGGATTTTTCTCCGAGTCCTCCAGTTTTTCCCTCCACGTTTATAAACACGTGTTTAGAGTATTTGGCTGCTTTAAATGTCCACGTGATACACCACGTGGTTAAGCTATTTCATTTGTGGCCAAGTCGCTTCTGAAAAAGAACTATATAGCTCAGTGAGCCTTACCTGATAAAATTTAAAGTTTTAGTTTAGTTTATTGTTTATTATGTGGCACCATTCCTCGGCCATCCTCTGCATCCTTGCAGTACCTTAGTTTTTACATCCACTGCAAGCCATATCAAAACCAAGCTGATCTGGAGCTTGTTTCCACCATCGATTGTATTTGGGCCATCCTGGTGCTTGAACCTTACTTGGGGGTGACTGGGCACATGGCCTGTAATCCAGCACTCTGGAGGTGAGGATGGATGGTACAAATGTTATGAAACTCCCTTCCCCGTGGGCGTCGAGGTGCCATATCTTGATTCGCGAGAAGGCGGCACAGAAAGTTGAATAATCGCCATCTGTTTATTTCCATCTATACGTGGGGGATATAGAGTATTGTCCCCTCGTCCAAGGTGTGGGTTTGCTCAGGGAGCTGAGATTTCCTACATTTGTATGAACGCTCATTAATTGGATGACATTTTAAAATAAACACCCAGCTCTAACATTCTGTGACTCTAGTAGTAATATGTTTTTAACCTTTCAACTGGTACAAAAACTGACACCTTTTGGCGTCATCTGGTCCAACACCAATGGAGACTAGGCTCTAAGAAAAGCTGTCTCGGGTGTGGACCAATCAACTTCAAGGACAGCGCATATCATCAGAGTTGTTTCTTTTTGTTTGCATTTTGTCTGCTTGTGTTGTGGTTATTGCAAACATGATCCCTTGTATAAAGGTGTCAGTTTTGTACCAGTTGAAAGGGTAAAAACCTATTACTATATTTTGCCACTGGTAAAGGAGGTCTCATAGTGTAAATTCTGTGACTGATTAACGCGGCATGGATTGCTTGAAGTGCGTCACGTGACCGCAAGCAAGCAGCCAACCAGAGGTGCGCCCCTCCAAAACATGTACGCCCCTGGATTGGTTGAAGTGCGTCACATGACCGTGAGCAAGCAGCCAACCAGAGGTGTGCCCCTCCCAAACATGTACGCCCCCGGATTGGTTGAAGTGCGTCACGTGACCGCGAGCAAGCAGCCGGGCGTGTGAGAGTGAAGAGAAGGGTGAGTGAGAGTGAGAGATGGGTGAGTGAGAGTGAGGAGACGGGTGAGTGAGAGTGGGACAGAGCCGTGCTCCGTCCACTGTTGTATCTATGCCCCGTTTTCCAAAATTAATATTAAGAATAATTAGGCCAACATTTTTTTTATATATATATTTTTAAATTAAATAATGAAAACAACCCACTACTCGCCACATTCCACGACAGGCATCTGGGAAACGTGGAATGCCATCAAATAGAGAGGGGTCTGGCCTCGGGACGACCCACTCAGGGGGAGAAGGGGTCAAAGGGTCGCGAGGGGGGGTCTGTGCCTTGGATAGCAGGGACGTCTGTTTTTTGGTTGTTGTTTCTCTCGCAAGAGATGCGCAGAGGGGAGGGGTTCATGTTTTTGGGTTTAAAACACAAACGCACATCACGCAGTGCAGTCTGGTTAGAGTCGCGCTCAGTCTCGGGACTCGGCTTGCGACGCAGCGTTGCGACGGGGCTCGCAAGGGAGCTGGGGCGCATCATGCCTCGAGGAGAGATGGGACGATGAGAGGTCGTTAGGGCAGAAGTCTGAGTTCAGCCTGAGTCGAGGCTGGGTTTCAGCCATGCTCCGGCTGGCGGAGCGTCGTGAGGGAGCAAACACCGATACCGATGGCCGGTGTCGCTTCTCGCAGAACTAAGTGACGAGGTGTGGTTAAGTGCGAGTGAAGCTTGCGAAATTCCAGCTATCATTCTCGTGAGAGAACCTGAACCAGCGAAAACCTGAAGGGTGGGAGAGGCGCCATCGGGTACCCGCGTGAAGCTGGTAGCTGCACGCCAAGGGAGAGAGCGTGACCAGCAACCGAGAAAGAGTGTCAGCACTGACGACCTGCGGATGAGCTGCGAGCGCTATTGGGCACCGCCGAAGGCGAGCATCGTGCCGACTCAACAATAATCCAGCAGTGGAGAAGCCTGTAGCTGCCACCAAGTGAGGAAGAGGAGAACGCCATCGAATGTGCCGTGTGTTTGATACACACACACCGACCAGCACGCTGAGAACAGACAAGACATCCAGCAGTGGACGACGGAATCATCGCACCACAACGGCGAACATCGTACCAACGCCGCTCATGCTAGCAGCGGAGAGAGAGTGCACGAGCAGCACCAAGCCCGGGCGCCATCAAGCGCCAAGCAACCAAGTTTCCTCAAGGAGCGTCGTGCTGACGCAACTCATCTAGCAATAGAGAGAGAGAGCGCACGAGCAGCACACCCGGGCGTCACCGAGCGTTGTGCCAACTCGTCATCCAGCGGTGGAGGAGCTGCGCGCTATCCGACAACGGAATCATCGCGCACCACGACGGCGAACATCGTGCCAACGCCGCTCAATCTAGCAGCGGAGAGAGAGTGCACGAGCAGCACCAAGCCCCCGGAACCATCAAGCGCCTTTGCATATTAGAGTGTCATATGTTTGTTTAGAATTAAAATTGTTTAACACCAAGTGATCCGAGTGCTTCTTTCCCAGTCTATGCAAAACTGTCTTATTCATAAGAACTGTAACCTTCGTTGAGATATGAATTTGGAGACCTAACATAACATAAACACACTAAGATAATCAATAAATGTTTAATCAAAGATAATCGTTTATCCCGATTGATACAACTCTGGATAACGAAACTAAGCCTAGTTATCATAACTGCACACATTAACATAATCTCAAGCATTCGCATAAATTAATACGATTATCTCGGTGATTATCATAATTTATGCGAATTACGCATTTTTCGAAATTTTATTAATTTTTATTATTTTAATCAAAATTTCATAATCCGGCATATACAACACCACTGCTGCCCTGAGGGAGAGCCGTGCTCTGTCACCTGCTGCCCCGAGGGAGAGCCGCGCTCTCTACACTGCTGCCGTGAGGGAGCCAGACGCACTCTCTCCACGGCTGGCCTGAGGCAGATTCATGCTCGGTCCACTGCTGCCCTGAGGCAGAGCCGTGCTTTGTCCATTACATTAGTACTGGAGTTTTTTTTTGTGCTTAAATCCACTGCTGCATGAAGGCCCACCGCACAATCTTAAGGATTTACTTGACCAGTCTGTTGGGGGCCGCCGCACGCTGTGGTTGTTGGGGGGCGCCTATCCAAGACCCTGCTGTAAAAGAGTGCAATGACTGGAAAAAATATGTAAATGCTTGAACCGAGTTGAGTGTGGCCGAATTCCAATTCCCCTGAACCACGTGACCTCATACCGGCCCATCCCACTCTCCACAGCCCCTTGTTCGTCACACACCTACCGCCTGTCACCATGTACCGATCTCTCACTGGACAGGAATCGAGGTTGAGGTGAGGGGGTGGTGATAAGTTACAAAATTTAATTTAACTAGAGATTAAGTAAGGCTTTAGCTAAAAGCTAAAATGTGGTGTAATTGCATGATGTAGTGGCAACACTTGTGCCTGGCAGCAAGAAGGCTGTCTCTGGTGTAGGCCATTCAGTTTAAAAGGTGTGTGGTTAATGTAGGTATCTATTTGGTGTTTGAACATCTTAACACCTGTTTTATTGCCAGAAAGGGTAAAGGCTATTCTTATTTTTTCATTATTTGGATTCTGGCAAAAAGTTCCCATATATATCAATGTACTATACAATGGTACCTCAGAGATCGAACTTAATTCGTTCCAGAAGGCCATTCGAACACCGATTTGTTTGAACACCAAATTAATTCTCCCCATAAGAATGAATGTAAATTAATTAATTGGTTCCAGACACAAGAAATATTTCATTATAAAGCATTTTTACACAAAGTTTACAGTAATTACATGCATAAAATCATTAAAAAAAACAAGAAACAATAAATAAATGGAATAAATGAATAAATATATGGAATAAATGAAATAAATGAACATTGAACTTCACTTTACCTGTAGTAAGGAGAGTTGATGGTTTGAGTGGAAGGTGGTGAGGAGGAGGAGGCGTCATGCACGCTGGCCATACGCGTTTCAGCCGTACAGGTTCTTTCAAGTCGCGATTGCCCGTTCGACCTCCGAATTTCGTTCGGTTTCCGGGGCAAAAAATGTTAGGAAATATCGTTCGAACACCGATTTGTTAGAGTTCTGGTGCGTTCGATCTGCGAGGTTCTACTGTATTTGCAAACATTTATGAATCATCATAGGTGGCTGCCAGGATTGTAACAGAGGATCTCCGCAACGCTGGTTCAGTGCTCTGACATTTAACTTTGCAAACCACCAATAATCCGCAAATTAAAGATTCACGTGTTATTCGATTGCTTGTGACTGCCTCGCTGACTGTAATACGGCCGCTAAGCCGCGCTCACTCCATTGTGTCTGCACCCAGGTGGGGTAAACGAGAAGCCGTACATGTGCACGGTGTGTGACAAAAGGTTCGCCAACGTTGGTGGCCTCAAGGACCACCAACGGACACACAGGGGCGAGCGGCCGCACGTGTGCACGGCGTGCGGCAAGGACTTCCTACACCTCTCCTCCCTCAAGGCCCACCAGCGAACGCACACGGGCGAGCGGCCACACATATGCAACGAGTGCGGCAGGGGCTTCTCGGACACGTCCAACCTCAAGAAGCACGTGCGCACGCATACGGGCGAGCGGCCCTACAAGTGTGGCGAGTGCGAAAGGGGCTTCTCGCAGGCGTCCACGCTCAAGATCCACCAAAAGACCCACCGCGACAAGGAGGCGAAGGCCGCCCTGGGCCTGGCCGTGAAGTAGACGCTGAAGCCGACGGCCCCGCTTGTGCCGGCGGCTCAGCGAAGGTGCAGGTGAAAGGGGAGTTCCGTAACTCCGACGCGTTTTTTTTAATTAAAAAAAGAAAATCTGACATTTTTGCATCGCACTGCAATTCTGTCACGGTTCATTCAAAAGTGAAAATGTTAATTTGCAGTGATGAGGCGTTTACTCCAAAAGCAGGAAAGTGTTGAGCTAAAAATTGGAATGTAATGTATGTTTTGCAATTTTGGGAAGGGTGGTTGGTGTCTGTTTGGTGTGTTTTGCTCTATTTTGGGTTTTCTTAAAACTACAGTTGTTTAAATTTCGATTTAAAGCTTTCGTGACTGCAGGGATTCATCTTCTTGGTTCTTTCGTTAAAGTCACTTAGAATGGAAATAATGAAATAATAAAATAATCAATTTTTAATAAAAACGTAATAAAATAATTCTCACGACGTTTCGGCCACAACGCAAGCAGCCGTCCTCAGGTGGAGAACAGGTCTGTCGAGAAGACAGAGTCTGAATGGCACGCCCCAGGCTTGGAGCGACTATTTATGCTGGGATGGAGGGGCGAAGAGTGTCTTGACAAAATAATTAGCATATCAAGAGGAATTTAGCATATTTATGGGAAATGCAGATATGCGATTAGTACTGCTTTTGAAATGCGTAGGAGGTTTGGATAGGGGTTTAAAGTAATTATGCCCATGCATTATGCAGGATTAGCAGTATCAAAGGGAGGGAGTAAGGTTAGAATTAATAAAGGGAAGGAATGTTAATAATATGGCGCCGCAGCAACTAATATGCTTATAGACTATACATTGTAATATTACACTGTATTATTCTACCCACCCAACTGTATACCACACTGCTGTATATTCACTATACAATTACGATACTATATATTACCTTATACATTGTATTAAACATTACACTTTTATACTATTTATTCTTATACGATATGCTATACACTATACCATTGACCGTCGCGTGAAAGGTACTAAGAGGAAGCAACGAAATATGTCAATGGGAGAGTGGTGGTAGGAAGCTTGCAGCGGAGCAAAGAATCCATTCCCTGCGGAGAATACAAGTCAATGTCAGTGAGTGGACTCCGCTCTGAAAGTCACCGTAAACGTGAACACAATCAGTTAAGATCCGAAATGGTTTATTACGTCCTTCCAATGATTGCTGAGCCAGAATCCATCTTCTCGGTTGAAATTCTCTTTGTGTTTGTATATGTGCATCGCCTCATGGACGAATCTCTCATGGTAGCCGGATGGCTTGCAGAGAATCTCTGTCTTGGAGAAGTCAATATCATGTGAGCCCACTGAATTGTAACAATGATCTGCCACGGCTGAGGTGTTTGTCCTACCATGTTTCAAGTCTGCTTTATGTTCACGGATGCGTTCCGAGACATGTCGTTTGGTTTCTCCAATGTAACTGCTACCACAGAGACAACTTAGTTTGTAGACGCCAGGGTACTGTATGTCTGGAACCAAATCTTTTACAGACGGGACCAGTTCACGGATTTTATGTACTATTTCGTTGCTTCCTCTTAGTACCTTTCACGCGACGGTCAATGGTATAGTGTATAGCATATCCTATAATAATAAATAGTATAAAAGTGTAATGTTTAATACAATGTATAAGGTAATGTATAGTATCGTAATTGTATAGTGAATATACAGCAGTGTGGTATACAGTTGGGTGGGTAGAATAATACAGTGTAATATTACAATGTATAGTCTATAAGCATATTAGTTGCTGCGGCACCATATTATTAACATTCCTTCCCTTTATTAATTCTAACCTTACTCCCTCCCTTTGATACTGCTAATCCTGCATAATGCATGGGCATAATGACTTTAAACCCCTCACTAAACCTCCTACGCATTTCACAAGTAGTACTAATCGCATATCTGCATTTCCAATAAATATGCTAAATTACTCTTGATATGCAAATTATTTTGTCAAGACACTCTTTGTCCCTCCATCCCAGCATAAATAGTCGCTCCAAGCCTGGGGCGTGCTATTCAGACTGTCTTCTCGACAGACCTGTTCATCCACCTGAGGACGGCTGCTTGCGTTGTGGCCGAAACGTCGTGAGAATTATTTTATTACGTTTTTACAGTTGTTTTGTTTTTGTGTTCCCAACTGTGCATAGACCACTGAGGCAGGAGCACTGGGATTTGATATCTGCTGACTGTTTTACTCAAAAGGTCATGTAACGATACTTGGACCTTGTTTTAATTGCTTTTTATATCCGTTGTGTACGAGTAACCACGCTACGGTAATGCTTAGCGTTCCCCTAATTCGTCGAAGGTATATGTAATGGAAATATTACAATACTGTATACGTTGTGCTCTAAATACCATGGACCGTTTTTTATATTACATGACTAAAGGCTAAAATACTAATTTCTTAAATCATCGAACATTTTTTGGCCAGAGCTTGGGGATATTTTTAAAAAAGGTCTGCCACGGTGGTGAGATGTTAACTATCTCGCCTGATATACAGGATGTCATGGGTTCGATCCCGACCCTGATGTCTGTATATTTGTAATTTGCGTGCTCTCCCCGTGGTCGTGTGGATTTTTCTCCGGGTCCTCTGGTTTTTCTCTTCACATTTAGAATGAACATGCATTTATAGTATTTGGCTGCTATAAATGTCCACGTGATAAGCCACTTCGTTGCGCTATCATTTATGGTCAGGTCGCTTCTGAAAAATAGTCGTATAGCTTAGTGGACCTTACCTGATAAAATAAAAATAGTTTAATGGTTTCTGTATAAAAAAAAGGCTACTTTATACTTACGAGTGCTCCACAAGAGTGCCACGTCTCTTATCCATGGCCCCTTTGTCCGAGTTGTTATCCATCGCGAAGGCGATCTGTGAATCCCACTTACCCAGGCATTGCTACTTTTATCCTGTGATCCATGGCATAAAGGGGGGGAAGCTCGCCTAAAGACTCTCCGAGGAGATGACAACCAATTGAAAGATTTATCCGTGCTGTAGAGATGTAATGGCCCAGTTACTCTGCGTGTACAGGAAGCTCTCCCCTGGTTGTTTTGAGCAATCCGACACTCTTCCTGCAGTTGTTTTTACTTTACAAATCGCAAAAGTTTTATCCGTGGTGGCGTTTGCTGTGGGTAATGATTCCAGTGAAGGTGGCGTTGGGGCTTACACATTGTGGCAAGCACTTTTACAGTGTCTTCTGTGCCTTGCATTATTATCCAAGTGATTTAAAAAATATAAATTGTGGTAAGAGGAAGTAAAAAAAAAAATTACCTCTACAGCTGAAAGTTAGCCCCAGATAATGTGCCTCTGCTAAATTTGTCTGCTTGCCGGGTGCAGATTATACCCTCCCAAGATACTGTGCATTTCAACTGCTTTTTCACAGCTGGCATTATTTGACGTTGAGCCTTTGTGTCTGTTTTAACAAGCTTATGCCGAGCTATTTGATGCTGCCAGAACTCTTCATCTTTTAAAATCCGAATTGTGTTTTTCAAACGTGCTTTATCGGAAGAATGTGTTTGAAGTTAGAAAATCACTGTGCTTTTAATTGTACCCTTAGAGTACTCTGTATAGCTGTTTAAGGGAGCCTTGAGCAAGATTCGTAATGTTTTTAGAGTTAAGAATAACCACTTTAGAAAATGCACGTTTGTCTTAAAAGTTTGTACAGAACGATTTGAGAGAGCTAGAAAGAAGTTTAAGAATCAATTTTTAAACGCGGTGTGTGGTGGTGGTGGTGTGTTGTGAATTTATGATCTTAAATCCTGCTTACCTGAGAGCACAAATATACTTTGTAAAATATCCCGCTGGGCCTAAAATGTTAAATTGCATTGTGCAAAGAAATGAGTAGGTTCATGGTTCAATCCCTAGTGCAGAGGAGAACGTCACATGACGGGCACCCGGGTGCAGTGAATCGAACGATGCTGGCGGGTGGTCACGGAGATGAGACGCGAGTGTTTAGGCCTTTCTCTTCATCAGCGGATGTGGTGTGTTCTAGTGACTGTATGATACAGTTCCACTGTGCTGTGTCTTTGGCTCTCTGTAAGCCTTGTTACTGTCGATTCTGGAGGACAGGTGGCAGCCGACTGCTGGGTACTCGCGATATACAAGCCTTCTCTGTGGAGGCCGATGCTGAACTAAACACAGAGGTCCTCGCAAATATTTTTTTTTAACGTGGCACGTGCTAATAACCGAGTTTCAACTTAAAAAAACATTTTACAATGCTGTATTGAGTTTTTAGGCTGTTCACTGCCGTGGCGGAACCAATCGCAGTAATTATGTTCCCACGCCAGGACCAATCTCTGAAATCTTAACCACTGTTAGCTTCCTTGAGCCTATTGTACAGGGCTCATATTAAGAGTCACTGGGATTTGCCACAGTGGTAATTTGCAATTCATGATAAAATTCAGTCTTCCAAAAATCAATCCATCCTGCCCTTGCCGGCCTCTTCATCATTTCAGACCCAATCCACATTGAAGAATTGTGTACACGTTACACTTTTTTCTCCAGTTTCCTTCCAACAATGGTCAGACTTGAAAAAGATTTTGACTTAAAACGTTTGTGACTGCAGGAATTCATATTCTTTGGTTATTTTGATAAAAGTCACGTAGATAGAAAATAAATAAAAATAAAGTGAATAAAAAATAATAGAAACAAAACCCACTAATGTAGACTAGCCTGCTTCTTAGTGTACTGGCAGTCTATAATGTAGACTAGCAATGTTATTAAGCTAGGTGAGTGTACTGGCAGTCTATAATGTAGACTGTATCCTATTCTTAGGTTTTTTTGGTAAAGTCACGTAGGTAAAAACATTAAAAATTAAAATCAAATAAAAATTACGACGTTTCGGAGGCAACACAAGCTTCCGTCTTCAGGTGGTACCGTCACAGCCACGACAGCTGTATCAAGTAAATGAGAGATTGCAGGAGCTACCATTCCGTTTATATAATGGTTGGAGAAGGTGGTGGGGCAAGGGCCGCATACTTTTTATTAATATGGTAAGGTGAGGCTTAAGACTAAGAATAGACTGCATAACAAAGACTGAGCCTTTGTTATGGAGAGGTGCGGTTTGTGACTCAACCTGTAACAGGGAGAACCACCACTAAACATGGTAAAACTGTGATGGTTGTCTGTCAAATACGATTGGCAAATAAGTGTAGTTAAATCTTTTTTGCATGGTTAATCACATCTTTCCAATGATTACTCAGTTTGTAACCGTCATCACGGTTGAAATTATGTCTGTGTTTGTATATTTGTATGGCTTCGTGTACAAACCTTTGATGGTAGCCAGGAGGTTTGCAGAGAACCTTGGTCTCGGAAAATACAATTTCATGAGAGCCCACCGAGTTGTAGCAATGATCGGCAACGGCCGAAGAATCAGTTCTGCCGTGTTTCAGATCTGACTTGTGCTCGCGGACACGATCAGAAACATGACGTTTCGTTTCTCCAATGTAGCAATCACCACAAATGCAACTCAATTTGTAGACTCCAGGATACTGTAAGTCAGGAACGACATCCTTCACAGATGGAATCAAATCACGGATTTTATGCACTGTACTGAATCGGACTTGAATCTTATGTTTGTTTAGAATTTTGGAGATCTTTT